GTTTTTGACCAGTTGAGCCTTCCTCTATTAACGTTTCGTGGGCACAATAAGCCACATTGTTGGCTCGTCAGTTTTGGAGATTAAGTTGGTGGGAAAGTATATACTCTTGTCCGTTATCACATTCTACAATTATTTGACCTTTTTGGGGCACTAATAAACCTAAACAGAGATACAAAAGAGTGCTTTTGCCCGTCCCGTTTTTGCCTAATAAATAATTAATCTTGCCGGGCGAAAAGGTTCGATTATAGTTTTTTAATAACCATTCTTTTTGTCCTCTATAGCGAAAAGAAATATTTTCCAAACGCAGGGCAGTAATCGAAATATTTGGGGACAGTTTTGGTTGGGTCAGATTATCATTTTTTTCCGGCAGAGCCAGGAAAGAGTTTATTCTTTCTTGCGAAGAGGTGTAATCAGCATATTCTCATAAGCATTGGAAGATGGAACGAAAGTTGCCGAATATTTCCCAAAAAGCCATCAAAATGACTCCTTCAAAACTACCACCGCTCAAAGCTAGTAAGAGGAATGGAAATGATTCCATTAACCAATTGTTAGGTATTGTCCTATTTAATGATTTGGTGTGGTTGAAAGTAAGTAATAATTTTTCGTTGGCTTGGGTTACTTTTTTCTGTTTGGCACTATATTGGGAAGTCAGACCGGAACTTTCCACTAGAGTAGCATTATTTCTTTCCTTATTAATTACTGCTGACTCAACACTTAATCTTTCTTTATATCTTTTTTCATTCCGCAAGATTTTCTTGGTAAAAAAGTAGACAATGATATTAATTAAAAACAAACAAAAAAAGGAAAAGACTAGCTGTTGTGTAGTCATCTTAGTGAAGTTTTTTCAGTAGAAAATTAACACCAGGAAAATTTCTAAAACGCTGTGGAAAGTGTGATTAGGTAAATGTTCCCAATCATAACCTATTTCGCCAGCATCCTTTTCTATTAAATTATTTACTTCATCTTTTCGGGCTTCTTTTTCTTCCAAAGGTAAGCAACGAAACTTATCCAGCACCAAATTTTTAGTATAATGACCGCCTCTTATTCGCAATTCTTCCTCGGCTAAACTATTCCAATAGTAAACCAGAGCATAAACTAATACCAGTAACAAGCCACCAATAACA